TACCACTGAGCCACCTTCCCAGCCTGTGTACTCAACTTTTTTCGGAGGGAGTGGGTCCGGTCGTGGGGCCTGAACTCTGGGTCTGGGTGCTGTCCCTCAGCTCTTCAGCTCAATGCTAGCGCTCTACCACTTGAGCCACAGCACCACTTCCGGCTTTTTTCTTTTTGCTTATGTGGTGCTGAGGAATCAATCCCAGGGCCTCGAGCATGCAAGGCAAGCACTCTACCACTGAGCCACCTTTCCAGCCCCCTGTGTAGTGAACTTTTATGCCCAGGTTGGCCTGGAACCTAGATTCTTTCAATCTCACCTTCCTGAATAGCTAGTACTACAGGAGTAAGCCACTAGCACATGGCTGAAAAAAAGTAAAATAAATCCATTTATTATCCCATTGGTATAATAAATAGATTTAGAGTCTGAGTAGTAAATTTTAAAAACCTGCACCTCTAACATTCATTCTTTTGAGAGAAGAGCTCTGTTGCTTTGATGTATTCAGTAACCTAACCATAGCAAATATGACTTCACTCAGTTGGGAATGGAGATAAGGTAGCATTTTATAATGCATCTCATTCATGTTTGACCTCATTATTGGGATGTTGGATAAAAACAGATCTATAACATTAGAAAAGTTGACATCAAAATATTAAAACACATATTTTATGTTCTGGGTGGGCTGCCTTTTACTTTTTTATAACAAGGCCTTTTGATATTTTTGTAGACAATCTGCTTCATCTTGATTCAGCAGCATTCCAAACTGTGGTATCCTTGGGGTTCTCTTAACATTGCTATGGTGCAGAAGATTTAAAATCAGGTATGGCTGTGGGACCAGAAGTCCCTCAGTGAAATCCTCAACTTGAATCTTTCTTATACTCTCTTGATGTATCACTTGTGTTTCTTTTTCTCCCCTTCCTCCCCCATGGCCTTTTAGCTGATGTTCACAAGGAATAGAGTCACGTGATGTATGAAGGGAAACATATACACTTCTCTGAGGTTGACAATAAGCCCTTGTGCTCATATAGCCCCAAACTCTGCAAGCAGCGGCGTCTCAACGGCTACGCTTTCTGTATCAGACACGTTCTGGAGGACAAGACTGCCCCCTTCAAGCAATGTGAATATGTGGCGAAGTATAACAGCCAGCGCTGCACCAACCCCATCCCCAAATCAGAGGATCGCAGGTAAGAGCATTCTGGTATTAGTTACGCACTTCTCCCTCCTCTACCCTCCTCTTCTCCCTCCCCTTTCCTTCTCTCTTTCAGTGTGGTGAATTTAAATGTTGAGTTCTAAGAAAGTTTGGAATCATTCTAAAGGTGAGAGATACGATTTCTTTTTAAAAACTTTTTGTAAGCCGGGTTCCAGTGGCTCATGCCTGCAATCCTAGCTACTTAAGATTCTGAGATCTAAGGTTTGTGGTTCAGAGCCAGCTCAAGCAGGAAAGCCTAGACTCTTATCTACAACTAGCTGCCAAAAGAAACTGGAAATGTACCTAGGGCTACAGTGGTAGAGCTCTAGCCTTGACATAATCTCAGGGACAGTGCCAAGGCCCTGAGTTCAAGTCCAAGTGTGGCATGAAAAAAATTCTTTTTTAGTGTATATTTTATGACATATTAATATTAATTTTATAAGATAGTTTCACTGTTTTCTATTGCTCTTTTTCTGTCTCCTTCTCCCCCCCCCTTTTTTTTTTTTTTGGTCAGTTGTGGGGCTTGAACTCAAGGCTTGGGTGCTGTCCCTGAGCTTTTTCACTCAAGGCTGGCACTCTACTACTTTGAGCCACAGCACTACTTCTGGTTTTGTGGTGGTTAATTGGAGATAAGAGTCCCATGGACTTTCCTACCTAGGATGCTATTAAACCTTGATCTTTAAGATTTCAGCTTCCTGAGTAGCTAGAATTACAGGTTGGAGCCATCAGTACCTAGCCTATTCTAAGTTATTAATAGGCTCCATTATGCTGTTTTCATACATAAACAAAATGTACTTTAATATGGCAATTTATTTTAAATAGAGTGGTAACCTTAAGGTATTATGTTAAAGTATGTTTAAGTGTTTTCTTTTTATTTAATTTTATAGCATCCTGGGTTTTTACAAAAAAAGTTTTTTCCTAAAAAATGCTGCTCATACCCTTGGTACTGATTTGTTTGATTTATGGCCACTTAAAATAGTTCTTGACTTCTGTTTAGTATCTGCCTTGCAAGAGAAGTCATAAATGTTAGGATTGATAATAATTTGTGTTTTTAAAGTTTATGCTTGAATGCATATAAAGGATATATATTCAGTTGGAAAGAATTTAAAATATTTAAATCATTTATAAGGTGCACTTTTTGACAGATGTCTTAGTGTTTAGCACTATCTTATAATCTTGCCTTGTTTGATTAAAAACAGTTCCAAATAGATTGTGATTTAGAGACTATATTTTCCCTAGAAATGTGATTTTATATTGTGTTTTTAAAGGAGGTTGTAATATCCATAGGAGAAGTACTACTTTTATGTCTCATCTCTTCATGCATCTTGTTCTTTAGTTCTCCAGAAACCATATTGATCGTTAGGGGACATTGAAGAGAGATGCAGGGCTGTTCCATGTTCTGCATCCATGTTCCTGTATAGAAGCACATATCACCTGAATATATTGGCTCAAAAGCTGTCATGTGTCTTTTGTCTTGATGAGCTCTTTTTTCACTTTTGTGTGAAATAAATAATTTGTTTGGTAGAGATCCCACCAAATGAGTACATTCAATATGGTGATTTGGGAGTGCTCTCTTAGAATTTCCAACTAACACTTAAGTTTCAAATGACAATACCTGAAAGTTAGAAACAGCTGCTTGATGAGGCAGAGAATAAAACTTTAATCTCAGGTGAGAAAGGGACCTGTGTATTAAGTTAAACCTATCTGTCCAGGCTAGTTGACTGTAACAGACGGAAAAATAATTTTTTTACCCTTGACTTTTTTAAGATGAAGGATTTTACTTTCAGTCCTACTGCAACTACATCACTGTAGGGTTTTTTTTTTTGTTGTTGTTGTTATTATTGTTTTCTTTAAAAAAATTTGCTGATACCATTGTTGAACCTAGGGTTTTCTAAGTAAACAGCTTGCTTCCTTGGCTGGAGCTCCACCTTGAGCCACACCTCTAGCCTGGCTTTTTGCCTGTTATTTTGAAGGAGTCTCCTAGACTTTTGTGTGTGGGCTGGCCTTGAACTTTGGTCCTCCAGATAGCCTCATGAGTAGATATGATTACAGATGTGAACAACCAGAGCTTGTCTGTAGTTTTATCTTAAATTGGGTTTATCACGGTTGTGGTTATCAACCTTGGATTTTTTTCATTTGAAGTAAAGCAAATATTATATATTATATAAAATTATATATTAAGTTAATAGGAAGAACTGAATTTCTTTCTCAATTTCTTAAAATATTCTCTTAAGCATCTTTTTTTTTTCTTTTTTTGTTGGTTGTGGGTCTTGAACTCTGGTCCTGGGCACTGTCCCTCAGCTCTTCAGCTCAAGGCCAGTGTTCTACCATTTGAGCCACAGCGCCACTTCCAGTTTTCTGGTTGTTAATTGGAGATAAGAGTCTCATGGACTTTCCTGCCCAGGCTGGCTTGAACTGTGATCCTCAGATCTCAGCCTCCTGGGTTAGCTAGGTTACAGGTGTGAGCCACTGGCCTTGGTCCTAAGCATCTATCTTATTTGTCTTTAGTAACTTCCTCGTTAGAATAAGACAGGAAAAGCAGAAGAACTTTCGTGTTTCTCATTTCATATAAACTTTCTTTTTGTTTTTTGTTTTTTTGGGGTCCGGTCGTGGGCCTGAACTCTGAGCCTGGGCACTGCCCCTCAGCTCTTCAGCTCAAGGCTAGCACTCTACCACTTGAGCCACAGCGCCACTTCCGGCTTTTTTTTTTTTTTTGCTTATGGGCACTGAGGAATTGAACCAGGGCCTCAAGCATGCAAGGCAAGCACTTTACCACTGAGCCACCTTCCCAGCCCCATTATTTAATAGAAACTTTCATAAATTGTCTGGGCATGGTTGTAATTCTAGCACTCTGGAGGTAGAGGCAGGAGGATTAAAAGTTCAGGTCCATGCTGGATTACTTACAATAATTTGAATTAACTGAATTTTTATAAGATTAAGAAATTTAAGGGTTTTTTTTTTTTTGTTTTGTTTTCCTGTAGGCCGTGGTTCTTGAACTCTGGGCCTGGGTGCTTTTGCTGAGCATTTCAGCTCAAGTTGAGCATTCTACCACTTGAGCCACATCACCACTTCCAGTTTTCTGGTGGTTAATTGGAGATAAGAGTCTCATGGACTTTCTAGTACTTTCTTGCCCTGGCTGGCTCTGAACTGTGATCCTCAGATCTCAGCCTCCTGAGTAGCTAGGATTACAGGCATGAGCCACCAGCGCCCAGCTCCTCTGTAGCTTTTGCTCATCATTTGGAGATAAGAGTTAAGATTTGTCTGCCTAGGATTGTTTTAAAGCTCCATACTCAGATCTCAGACTTGTAAGTAGCTAGGGTTGCCAGAGCCACCAATGACCATGCTTTCCATCTTTTTAAGATAGTTATAGAGCTGAGGAACACAGTTCGAAGCTAGCCTGGGTGGGAAAGCATCAGATGCTTAACTCCAGTTAACTACCAAAAAGGAATGGCTCAGTGGTAAAATGCTACTATTGAGCAAAAATGCTCCTTAAGAGACAGCACCCAGGCAAATAAATTAGTCATTAAATCAGTCAATAAATTGGTATGCTTAATGGAAGGACTGGCAAAATCCATTTTTTATGTTCTTGTGCAAAAAAGTATATGAGCATTCTCTTGCTATATAGATCAAGCTGGCTTCAGACTTGCTGTGAAGCCTGCCTAGACTCTTGGGCTGAGATATTGCAGGTGTGTGCCATCATGCTTCCTGTATAATACCATTTGATATTTAAGTTTGCTGTGATTATGCATGTATATGTCCACACACACACAGTTAATAGTGTATATCTGCCAAGAAATTTTCTTGTTTCCTACATTATTTTTTTTAAAGCATCTTGAGGTATGATTCACATACCATATAACTAATCCCTTTAAAGCATATCATCTGGTATTATATTTTTTTACTGTTTCACAAAATTATGCAGTCCTCACCACAATCTAATTTTAGAATATTTTCATCCTTCCTAGTGAAACCCTGTACTTATCTAGCAGTTATTCTATCTATCGATCGATAGATCGATCGGTTGTGGGCTTGAACTCTGGGCCTGGGTGCTGTCCCTCAGCTCTTTATAAAGCTTAAGGCTAGCGCTCTACCAATTAAGCCACAGCGCCACTTCTGGTTTTCTGATGGTTTATTGGAGATTAGAGTCTTACAGACTTTTCCTGACCAGGTTGGTTTTGAATCTTGATCCTCAGATCTCAGCCTCCTGAGTAGCTAGGATTACAGGCATGAGCCACCAGTGCTCAATTCTATATTTGTTTTTTTAGAGTAGAAATGCACATTTTTGTATATAGAGGGTTTTTTTTGTTGTTTGTTTGTTTTTTATCAATCTTGGGGCCTGAACTCTGGGCTTGGGCAGTATCCCTCAGCTCTTCAGCTCAAGACTAGCACTCTACCACTTGTGCCACAGCACCACTGCTGGCTTTTTTTGCTTATGTGGTGCTGAGGAATCAACCCCAGGGCCTCATGCAAGCGAGGCAAGCACTCTACACTGAGCCACCTTCCCAGCCCTGGTATATGTATTTTAAATGCTGTTAATAAGCCATCAGAATATAGTTATGAAGAATTTTCCTATTAGAAGTAATGTCTTGAGACTTTTTTTTTTTTTTTTTTTTTGGTCCAGTCGTGGGGCCTGAACTCTGGGCCTGGGCGCTGTCCTTCAGCTCTTCAGCTCAAGGCTAGCACTCTACCACTTGAGCCACAGCGCCACT